GGCTGGCCTACGAGCCAAATACTACATACATGCATGCATGCGAATACATCACACTTATGTCTTACTGTCTATATGTACAGAGCCCTTTTGTACATTGAGTGTCACCGACAGTGTATTATTTTGAAACCATTGGCATTGGCGTTGCAATATTGTATGACAAGGCACATCAAATGTGGCAATTCATTTCAGTGTGTATTGTCAAATTGGCATGTACAATATCAAATTACATAGCAAATATTTTGTTTACTCTTGTTTAAGCAAGGCCTTTGATACGTGTATAGCTGAAACTTACCTATATTGACCAATTTAATTCCATCGTAGACGAGGACATCTAAGGCCATTTTGATATTGTCCAACTTCTGCGAGAACACTTTAGGATTGGATTTGTACCTTCCAGCCTTCTTGCCTGAGACGACCTCGACAAGTTTTATCAAACGGACGCCGTCCTCGAAAGTTGTGGCCAAGTCGTCGATAGTTTCATCGGGATAGGCTCTTCGAATGTTTTCGCGTGCCCAGTTCGTAAATGTTGTCTTCTGAAGATTCACCCAGTCGCCTTGGTTCGGCCCGTCCGCGACGCTGATATGGGCATTGACTGAGCCCTGTCTCATCTCGCCTTCGTCGTAAAGATGTGTGTCGTAGTGAGAGTCGCGCAGACGCTTCTTGTCTCTCGAGTCGCGGTATTGAAACTCTAGATTTTAGACGAAATACCACGGAATGAGCGTATATATTTCACGCAGTCGCCTTTTCAGACCAACTGCTGGCGAATTCAATGCATTCTAGTTTCACATGAGTGCTTGCGATTTAAAGTGATAGGAATCATAAATGCAAATCGTGTTGTTGTATGAAGAGGCGGCGCTGGAAAGCTAATGTGTATAAATGCTTGGCACCTGCGTCTGGGAACGAGGTTGCTCTGTATACACGCAGGCTCGGGTCAGCTCAAGGTTAACTCCGCAAATCCTTTCAGTATCGCGAAAACAAATCTCCTGGTCAAAATTCCACTATGATAACCAATTCATGTATACAGACTGACCAATAACGAACTTAACAAACTTCACTTATTGCTCTAAATAATTTAATAATATTATTCGTATAAGTTTAGGCTTCGTATGTAAATTCACGCATGCAGTTTTTAATGCCTGCAACATGCAGTAATGGCTGCTGAACATGCAGCTAGAAATTACATTGCTTTGCACGAAATTGCACCACGTTGTCGTTGTTTTGCCACAAGATTTACTTGTAGTATAAAGTGAATTAGGAAAGTGCCAAGTCTATGAACTGAACAAATACGCCCGGCTCTTGTTAATGCTGTATTCGTTATTGTCTACAGGCAGTTATATCGTTACATAAGTATCGAATTTCTACCCGTTTTGCAATTATAATTACGTTTTATATCGTATGCAAAATAGGCCACTTTTCTTGAACGTTAACACCTACAAATTTGATTTTAAAGGCTGTTCCACAAAAGACAGACGCTAAACAACTTTAATTGCTGTCAGTGGCATTTTGCACTTGAGTTGTGCATTCGAAATGCAATTTTAAATTTAAATCTTAGGAGAACTTTGAATTGTAGGTTTCGTTTCATTATTTCTATTTTCAGTTATAATTCATATTATTATAATTCAGTGGAGAAGAAGTACAGTAATATAACTAGTAAATATTGTGATATTGAACGATATTTAAACTCCTTCGATTCTATTTAACAACTAGCATCCGAGTTTAATTCGAGTTAAGCGGTGTGAATGGACGATTTGAAGTAATAAATGGTATACGAGCGAACGTTTATACCGGCAGAATAGGTGACGCCATATTGCCAGTCCGATAGTAACCTAAAAATCCGTACTGTATTATACTGCAATCAGCAATAACTGTGTTATACAATGCAGCAATTATACTCTATACAGTCTGAACACAGCCTCGATTAACTTCGCTGGGAACTACATAATACAGGGGTATTAATTATATTGGTTCTGAAAGAGCAAACAGATCATTTAGGATGTCTGCCTGGTTTAATTTAACTCTTACCAGAATCGCCTCAGTAGCTATGTCATTAAATTCATTTTAGTAGCTACTGCCTTTAACGTAGAACAAATGGCTACAAAGTACAAATTAAGTTGCTTTGCGCTAGAAATTCCCGAGCAAACACTGTGGTTATAACTTATAAAGTATAATTATTGGACTAATGAGACCATGATGCTTTGCTAGAATCATTGCTAATTGCTTCATTTAATATACATGCCAGGCATTCTAGTCTTTGTAATTAAATAATGCAGGTCTTAAATGGTTATCTGGGTAAGATCTATTGAAACATACTAATAAAGTCTGATATACTATGCCGCTTATGTATTGTGCCGTATAACGAACACATATATATGCTAACGGAGACGTTTTTAGCGACATCGCGGGCGGAGATGGCAGGCTTGGGTACATTTGGTGTATAGAATCTTGCGTTTTGACTGATACCAACATCATGTTTTTTCAACTAACGTGGTGGTAGTTTTTGTTCTTATACCTAAACTTCGTGTACGAGGCGTCGTTATGTCATCGAAGTGATCGAACGTTCTAGATTTAATTGAGATGAAAGAGCTGTTATAATGATAGGCAGGCAGGAAATTACTGAAATTCAGTTTACAATTTGCGATTCGTCAACCGATTATATAGGAATACCGAGAATTTAATTTGGATTGGTATAATACTGATCGAGAAGATTGGCGTAATAACGTAATAAAAATTGTTTCACAAATAGTACGTATACATACGGGTTAGCTATAGTATATGTTACTAATGTTAGTGTCATTGTTATTCAAATTGTGTGATCTTTCTTGTTGAAATCGATTATCTATAAGCATGAGATTTCCCAGCTTCGTAGAAACCTCGGGCGTGCAAATCGATGACAATCCTGCTTATATATATATATATATATATGTTCGTTAATCCTCTCATGCTTCATTATTAATAACTGCTTTAAGTTTTGACTATTTTGCAATGAAATTATGTCTTATGACTTATATAAACGCGTATTAGAGAAGTGCATGCATGTTGGCAAAACAAAAAAGACGGGCAAGTAGGTAGAGGGAGATAAATTTTACCATGTCATGCTATGATTCGCCATGCCTATACTCTATAACCGTACCTCGTTCGACTTGTTCCTGCCATGAATAACGATGCGATGGCTCTCCGTTTCCTTCGTCCCATGTTTTTCGCCTCTCGTCAGCTTCCCTTCGCATGGCTCGCGTCATCTTTCGACGTGACTTCGACATTTTTTTTTGTATTTGACAGAAAAATTACTATTTTATGTGTATCCTTGGGTATACGTAGCTACTTTCACATAAAGGCTTCGCATTTGGTTTTCCGTTTATGCCTAATCAGAGTATTCGTAAAACAATAAACGCAGAGAATAAACGGATATGCAAAAAATTAAAATCAATATCATTCTTATTGAAGCACACGATGTGCATGATCATTGTTGGTATATTATGCTTTGATCAGTATTTCATTATTCGCTTTATTCTTTATCGAAATAGCAATAGCCCGTTTAAACAGGTGTATAAGTGGTGAAGCGGGTTGTCTAGTTCAGTTCCATCTTGTTGGATGCATGTGGTGCCAGTTGAAAGAGGACTGGAAATAAGACTTGAATGAAATTTTCATACTTTTGAATGAAAATATGTGCCGTAGTGCATGGCAAAGAAACGATAGTCTGGTTTGCTGAAAGGATTCCCAGCATTCTGTAAAGACTGGAAATTCTTTCTACGAATTTTCAATACTAGTGCCCAGTACTTCTCAATTCTCATTTATCTTAGATTGAGGCAATCAAGGCATTGAACTGGTCGCATTTAGATGGCTTGACATGGAATATACGGGTTGCTGCTTGAGTGCCTCAAAATGAATTATGAAGGAACGTTTTTTTACTGTTATTACTGCGATTTCGGGAAGTGGGATATATTCGCAAGTATCATTGCACCATAATTAGTAGAAGTGTGCATGTCCAGTATATAGCTTCATTGTATCATATTGTGGGGTCTTTCTGCCATATATAAATTCGTTTTATTGCTATTGGTTCTTAAGTATTGTCGTTAACTGCTTGGCTAAACAAATTAAGGGCACAATAACTTTCATAAAATTGCGGGCGCTTAAGTTAGAAACGGTCAGTCGAAATTTTCGTTTGCTCATGAAACACGTCAAACACGTCAAGCGTCAAACCCACGCTGAGATCGATGTTTTCCTGACGTCACAACTTCTTCGTTTTGAAATACAGTGTGTCCAAAAAGTGACACTAGAAATTATCTCGTTATTTTTTAACCTCTTAAACGCGCTTATACTGTGTTACTACAGACTCCGTTTTGTCAGTTGAGCCATGGTTTCTGTAAGTGGACTTTTATTGTAATCATAGTTATTTAAAATTCAAGAAGCTGATGTCTATGAATCTGTTGATTCAGCGTAGCGCTCAGGCATTCAAACTAAAACAATACTGAGATAATTTCTATAGTGTCACTTTTTTGGGGGACACACTGTCTACCATCTGCAAATATAAACCAACAAAGATCCGAGCACGTACACGACATTGTTTAGCAACAACTCATCAGACATGGCCTTTTGACGGGTGAGCTTTTTTTGGTTGGATCTACAATGTGGAAAATTGCCGGTCCTGAAATGTCGTCCGAACGCCTTTATCGGATTACTAATGTTGTGAAAATACGAAAAACGGTTTTTAAATTTTCGGCTCCAAACATATTTTTTATAAAACATCGTTCAAGTCAGCTATATTTTCCTTTGCGCATGCGTAGTAAAATACGTTCTAAATGACAGTCCGTGCTTGAGCAATTGTTATGTAATTGCGATCATTGACTCATTTTTCAAATAGTAATGAAAAAAGCATCTTAGTTGGCAAAAGTTTGTTGTTTTTTTTCGGTCGTTTTGCAGCGTTTTTGATGTTTTCATTCAACGCACCGCAAGCGTATACTTAAATTTTAATGGTTATAATATCCGTGCATACCAATAGTTCTTTGCCTTAAACTAATGAGTAAGGAAAATAACGATCTGGGTGACGCCAGATCTACGCCCAGTAATGCGTAAGAATTTCTGAAGGGTAGAGGTCGCCCTTGGATAGCCCGCTTACTTTCGCGGGAGTCCTTGTTGAAGCGATCTCCGTAATAGAAGAAATAAAGGAAATTTCTCTACTGCTTTGGTTCTTCCACAGAGAGAAACCCAATTTCCTTTCCGGACATTATTTTTATAAAACACCGTTCATGTCAGCCATATTTTTCTGCGCATGCGTAGTAAAAAACGTCTTAAATGACAGCCCGTGCTAGTGTAATTATTATGTAATTGCGATCATTTACCTATATTGCAAATTAATGAAAAATCATGTTAGTTGACAAAGTTATTTTTCTTTTCGCCGTTTTGTAGCATTTTTTATGTCTTCATTTAAACGCACCGCAAGCGCTACCTGAATTTTAATCCTTATATATCCTTGTATGCAATAGTTCTTCGCCTTAAACTAATGAGTAAGGAAATAACGATCTGGGTGACGCCAGATCTACGCCCAGTAATGCGTAAGAATTTCTGAAGGGTAGAGGTCGCCCTTGGATAGCCCGCTTACTTTCGCGGGAGATCCTTGTTGAAGCGATCTCCGTAATGAAAACATAATGAAAGAAAAAAGGAAATTTCGCTACTGCTTCGGTGCTTCCACAGAGAGAGAACCCAATTTCCTTTCCTACCTAACTGAGAATTCGTTTATGATTGATCCAGTGTGCTCAGTGTAAAAAATCCCAGGCCGTTCAAAAACATCTTGTTTCTCTTCTTGTTGCATTGTAATCAGTTCTTTGATTTTTATAGTCTACACGGATACGTAATGTATAAATGCTTCTCCAGTTCGTGCAACTGACCGAAATTGAATATGGGGCAATCGCGAGTAACAAAAATCCAAATATTCACCTTTGACAGGAGTGAAATAAAAAAGCGCTTCATGGGATAATTTAATTATTGTTATCAGCTTCAACTTGACCTGCTCTGTATTTAATTATTGTTTTCAGCTTCAACTTGACCTGCTCTGTATGCGAACCACAACGGGCTCAGGCTAACTAGGTTTAGCGATATATCCTAACGCCCACACAATATGGCTTCCCAAGACCGCATCTCCACATTATTCAGACATTTACACAACCGTTACGAGAGAGGAATTTGGCAGAGTGGTAAAACACGTAAACTTAGATACTCTATTTGGGATGGCTGGAGACATGGAAGATAAAGAAAATGCGTCGAAAAATCTCGAGGTAAGGGTGTGTTACTTCCCTTATTTCAGCTATTCATGCAATGTAGGGCAAGACACAGGACAGAGTGAGATCGCTAACTAGGCAGATGTTGTGACTTGTGACTTTTTGCCTTTGTGTACTGTAATCCTCTGAATGCGATGATCACCAAAAAGGCTCTATGCATGTATTGTGCCTTTTAAAGCTCCTGTAAGGATTCACGTTTTCCCATCTTTCACCGCTGTAATAGTCCGATTAAAAGTGGAGTTACTCGCCTCAGCATCCTTTTACATACACATGCAGCTCGCGCGAATACGCTGATTTTGCGACATTGGCGATGCATTCATGAACATAGATACATAAACCCCTGGGCCGGTTGTATCAAGGCTGGATAGAGCTATCCAACGGATAGTGATTTTTTCAACCGTTCTGAAAATGCTTGAAAAGCGACAAAATTTTATCTTTAGGAATACTAAGATTTAATCAAGCTATAGAAAACAGCGGATGATTTTAAAGCGATTGAAAAAAAACCACTATCCGGTGGATAGCGCTATCTGGCTTTCATACAATCGCCCCTTGATTTATAACAGCAATCACCTGAATTGATGTAATTGCACGGAACATTCGTAAAGCCTGGTTTCCATTCAGGTCGTAATTGTCGTGCACGTCACGTCATTAATATTTCTATACGTGTATGCAGTCGTTCACAAGGACATTCAACCAAAGAGAAACAAAGATCCGGACTATTCCACATCTGCGACAATAACGTGCTCACGAAAATTACGAAAATTACAAAATGAAAACCAGGCTTTAAGACATGCCAATAAGAAATTATGACAAGTTCGCGATCTTGAGCAGGTGTACGTAAACGTTGTAATCCGTAACAAGTTTCAGGTCATTTCTATCTCTATATAACTAGCCTCTATATACATGATTTCTATCAACGTAGAAACTAATTGAATAAACTGATGTATATCTGTACTGTATTTAGTGACCAAATACGAGGATATTTTCTATAGTGACCTTAATTAATGCATTTTACCACAAAACGATAGCGCTTTGAATGCATGCGTGAATGACAAATTTGCAAATTCAAAAGGACGAACTTTTGGCTAAATTGGATTTAAGAGTCCCGCGGACATGCAGCAAGCGCGCCGATCACAGGACTGAGACTCAAAGCATTTGTATGGGCACCAATCTACTAAAAGAAGTATATTTTATCGGCTACAAGCACCGGTTGTGCGGTTATAATTCAACTTTGAATTATTTATTAGCGATAAAAACGTAAAATAAACATAGAAATACGACGCAGGATGCATGTCATCAGTATAAACCAATGCAGGATGTCGGCATAGCGGAATGAAATATGAAATTTTTCGTTTTGTCGAAATGAGAGTGCGTTCGATTTTTTGGCATTTATGCCTCGGGTGGAAATGGAAATAGAAAATACCAATAATAAATGTTGAACCAACTTCTACAGATGCACAATTTCTTTTTACTTACTGACCTCAAATATAAATCTGGGATTTAGTTTAACCAAAAGGATTACCATAGCTATGTGCATTTTACGTGGGTTCATGCACAGAGGGTATAAACATCGACCAACAAACACAAATTAATTTATTTAGCATCAATTGCAGAATGTGGGTGAAATTTGAATGCTTTTAAGTCGGCTAATATTTAAGGAAAATCGTGGTGCCTGGCATTAGACTCCTACGTTGGCTAACCAGATTGTTTTACAAACATTCTTTCTCATATACACCCGCCTTCGAGTCCGAAGGTTTATATAGGGCCCCGTCTCTAATAAGTCAATAGTTTTGTCGCAGCAAATTCTTTGATAAAATGCAAGTAGAAAAGCAGTAAGCGGTATTTGCCGGTATTTCCATTGCAAAAGGTTACAAATGCGCATCCTTTTTGTGGGCGCAATGTTTTTTTCACATATATCGTGCAATGACATGATTTTCAAATCGGGAGGGTTCATCGGTAATTCAATCCCAAACATACTACTACGCAAAGCGAAAAGTGAAATTAAAATTTACGAGCGCCAAAGGAGTGCTGGGAAATAAAGTAAACCAATGTACGAACAACCTACATGCATGGCATGTGATTTTCACCAGACAATTTGACAAACTCGCGTTTGCTTATTTTCCCCCATATGTTACAAACATTAATGTGTCACTCTACAGCTACCGTTTATCTTAATGCAAAAAAAATATGTCTTGGTATTAAATCTATGATTTCAGTACTTGAGAATCATTATCGAGAAATTTTTGCAGGAATCATTAAAGATAATGCCATGCATGAGGAAATCAATAACAATTCTTGCTACTTGCTAACCTCTCTAAAGGCGTCTACACGATTTATGACGATCCGCCGTGCAACTCATGTAGCACTTATATAAATATGAATACAAGGGCTGGTAATTAGGGTTGCGAGTTCAAGTGCTGAACACATTTATTTCTAATCATGAAATGATTGAAGTTGCATAAAGTCTAAACGGCACAAACAAAGTTGTAATTTAATTTTGTGGGTGATAATTGTGTTCGTCAGCACTATATCCTTTTATATTGAACTGGGAGGCAGCATTATATACTTGCCAGTGCAGTACAGCTCATTGAGCGGAATAGATAGCCTTGAGTGCATGAATACAGTTGTCGAAGCTACTAGTTTTTGCGGTGGGATAGAAGCTGAGCATGTTGTTGTTATCAAATCAGGCTGCACGGTAAAATATACTGAGTCCAAGGCCGAGCATTAATTAATATAGCTTTAATAACGTAAGGAGTAAGTTCGCCAAATATTTATTGTAGTGAATACAACTAAATTATATTATATACTTAATTTAAAATGTCGCCTATAATACAGCAGCTGTGTATCGTTATAATTTACATTATACAGCAAAAACAGAGGTAGTCCAATGCGAAGCTTTTCCCACACAAGAGCATAGGGGCAGGACAGTCTCTTTTATTATCGAGGTCGTGGTGAGCTCAGCCAAGTGACATCGTCTAGCTGTCGTACGCATAATTTTAAATGGTTTCATTCTGTTGTATTTTCTAAAGATGCTAACAATTATCATTTAATTAAATAGTTATGCAAATATGATAATGGTAAGAAAGATAATGCCCGATTGTTTTTAAACCGAAAGGAAATGAATATGAATTGAAAAGTCTAAATGAATGAACGGTATGAACTATGCATGAAAGCGAAACATCAAGCTAATAACCATGTCCATGTACTCACTTGTGCTGCTACAGATTGACAACGAATTTAAATTTAAGATTCATTCCCACAGTTCGCCTATATAATTTTATTTAAGAGGAAATATCGCCATGATGTACAATCGAAAGATAAACGGCACACTTAACTTCATGCAGCGACTTTTGTTCTGGTCAATATGTCTCCTCTTTATATTGGCTGTATACTAACTTGACACACGAATTGGGAATATGGCTTGATATTATACATGACACGGCATATAAAGCCATTCACACGTGCACGTGAATTGTGAAATAAAGACTTGCGGGCGAAAATAAAACCTGGGAACATGTGTCCTATTAGAGCGAACCCGAATACTGTGCAGGTAATGAGGCAATTCAGACCCGAACCATCCAGCTTGCAACACACAGAAGTAGTCTTGATCGAATTTGGAGGCCTTTCAGTATAAATGCGACAAGTTTGCTAGCAGTAGCTTTAATATTTTTACATTTCTGGACAGTTTTGTGGTACTGCACTTAATTTTGTGGTATCTATCGACTTCTAGTAAATTACTGCTTTCAAGAGATCTAGCCGGTTCATTCGCGTAATTCCTTGTCCCCGCGACAAGAAATGTGTAACGATATCACGTTTGGATTATTTTTTTAATGTAAAATTAAGACATTAAGACATTTTTCAATCGTGTAAAAAGTTGACAGTAGGTACCTATAAAAGTATATTTGACGCCTGTCAATATGTATTTTGTTATTCCAAACAATCCTAGAATGCTCCGTGATCTCTCATTTTTTTCTGGAAAAGCTCATGCAGCGAAGCCTTCTAGGCAAAACGTTTCTGCAAAATGAAACCATGTGATGGTGAGCAGCATTTCGAGAGTTCTTTCCTGCTAGCTCATTTTAAACAATAGGCATTGACAAGTGCTTTTTTCAGACTCCCTGTCGGCTGTCGCAATCAAAAAGCTGTATCTTCCCTTCGAATTTGTAATTTCTCCGAGCTGGGGAGGAATTTATTATGAGCCCCTTCCCCCCAAAGTTGCGATAACGAATAAGTATAACCTTGCCACCATCCATATGCACAATGACAAGAAAATTTAAAATAAGAATATATACTCGTACGCATAATAGCCCCGGGTAGTGTCGCAGCCCCTCGCAAGAATGATTTTCATTGTCTAAACTTTACAATACATTTCTGTTTCAACTAATAGCATAGCTTATCCAATTATCAAAAACATTATCCAATTGGACGAAAGCTTCCGAGAGCTGCGACATGTCCCATAATAGCTCCTGCCATAATTACTTGAAGTTGAATGTTTGATGTACTACTCAGTGAAAATAACCCTAAGTATTTCTGGACGAAATTCACCCTGATTTCAGTAATTTGGATTTTGGGATATTACAAAAGGGAAAAGGACCTGGCAGCCTGGCAGGCGCTTAGGATTTAGGAAGTGGACAGCCAAAGGCAATGAAACCTCTTTCCCAAGTGCTCTTAAGAATACGCCCCCTTTCGAGTACATACAAAGCCGCAAATAGCCATCCAATCACAACGCGCACAACTTCGAAATAATCGTGCTCATATATATCAACTCATATATTTCAATATTTATTATTGCTTTTCAACAAAACAAAATTTTACGCACAGGAAATTGATTTAAGTGCTCGTATACACATTCATCAGCATGAATATTTTTAGCATGTCATCATCGCGGGCTAAACGGTGTTATAACATTATAATTCCGTGATCATTTCAGTTCTACTTTTATCGGCTTTTCCCCATCCTTGTCTTGCCTATTTAGTTTTGGCGTCAAATTAATTTGACTTTAGACAGAGCAGGTGCCGCGGCAGCTGGACAATGCTATTTATCGACGCCTGCCAATAAACGTACAGCAATTCGCCAAACATGCGTACTCGCCATGGAAATTGATTCCATTTGGGGCTGCGCTTATATTACGGGCGCGAGGTAAATACGCGGTCTACAGAGTAACAATAACAACAATAATAACATTCGCGATTGTTTTGGTAGGAAGAGGGGAACGCGGACGAAGAAAGGATGATCAAGCGAAAACTCGGTTTAGAATGTGGCGTGAAAAAGATTACGGAGCAGCGAAGTTTCGAAGTCCGATATTTCGGCAGTACGATGCTCGTGGAGCCAGACATGAAGCGAATCCGCGAGGCCATTCGACATTTGATCGGTGATATTATAGTGAAGGGCAAGGAACGATCACTACCAAAGGTTACCGTACAGATATTGCAAGATGGACTTCACTTGAAGGAGAAACAAAAAAAGTCGGAGGAGAAGGTTATACCGATACGCAAGCTATCCTACGGCACGGTTATGAAATCGAATGTTCAGCTACTTGCGTTTAATCATCATATGGATAAAACACCGCCGAAAATGGAGTGTTTCGTTGTCTTGTGTGAAACGGACGAGGCACTCAAAGAGATTGGACTGGCGATATACAGCGCTGTGCGAGAGCAGCATTTTCAAAGCGTCCGAGAGCTTAGAAAGGGATCGCGACCGGGCTGTGTGTTGGAGGAAAAGGAAGCCATTAAGTCCGTCGAGAGCGCGTGTGAACCCGCCGCGACTGACGTTAGCCGTAGCAATCTTAGCGAAAAGGCTTCCCCTCACGTGAACTTTGAACTTCATGATGAAGCCGATCAGTATCTTTCGTTGCCCGATCTCTCCGACAGTCAGAACGAATCGGATTTGCGAACGGCTTTGGAGGACATGTTGAAAGTTGTCGAGGAAGAGGAAATGAAAAATTGTCTAACGAGTGACGCGAAATGTGAGTCATGAAAACGATAATTGTGATCTGTGAAGCCGTTGACTAGTACGTGTTTGAACACACAAGCGCTGGTTTCATGAAATTGATTTAATTTCTTGATATGATTTTGCACAAAGAAAATGTTGTAATAATGCGACAGAATATGAGTAGTCTACGATGATTAAGAGAATGATTTAATATCATTAATACAGTTGCACTAAAGATATTCTATTTGTACAGACTACAGATTGCCGAATGAATAAAGCTGGCTTTTACGGCACTTTCCGTTCACTGTTTTAATATGCTTGAACAATAACGCTAGCTTAGTCCTCAGCGCGAGTTTCTTCCTCTGTCTTCCACTCTGAATGTCCCGTCTGATTTAATGGTGATTTTATCAAGAACGTAGCTACGTGTGTGAATGTCCCTGCACGTGCTGCAGTTCGCTGATATATAAATGAATTTGCACGACTTTGGGAAAATTTTAATATATTGCCTACACTGATTAACATATAGAATAACAAAAGTATAAAAACATGGAGCTTTCACACCCTTTTCATCAATAAAATTTTGTAACACCTTCCGGTAATCAGTCAAAATGCATGCAATCTTATTAGTCGGGCAGTGCAGGTAATTATTCGTCACTTTCTTCATTAGTAAACGAGCTGTATTAATAATTACACTTTTTCTGGCCAAATGTATTTTGAACATGCATTAATAGTCGAAAATATAGATTTCGAACAATTAAGTTACTGTTCACTTCGCAGCGAAAACATTGAACAGAAGTGCTGGTCGTCAAGATGCGATCCGTTTTTTCAATGCATCCAACTGACTAAACGGTGATTACGAAGTCTGAAATGATAAAAAAAAAGTTAAACATAAATTAAACATCAAGTGGTCAACAAATGGATGAATAATGCTTGGTGGCGGCTGCGGAAATTGAACTTAGCTATATAGTTCTAACTTGGACGTCAAATTTGGTGGGTAAAAGTATTATAAATGCTCCGAAATATGTTTTGCAGTTTGAAACTTGCACACGGTAAAAACAAATTGTCTGAATTAATAATCTTGTGTATAAACCTAGCTACAATTCTAGACAAAAAACACGCGAACGCTATTTATAATGGCTGACTTTAGGTCAATCAATTATTTTTTCGCATGCACAGTCGTATTGATCCCTTGTTAAAATGTTTTGTTAAAAATTGTTTTGTTAAATTGTAAAGTCAATTGCTAAATTGCCATTACAAAGCTGCCAGATCTTTTTGATAAGCTCTCAAAAGATTGCAGATCGAGAACTTTTCAGAAGGAAATTAAAACTTGTTTTGACATATTGTGTACAGTGGTATTTTTATTTCTGCGGTGTGATGCTTGTCCAAATGTTTTTTAACAAGAGGAATAGGTAAGCCAAGTTTTAATTCTTTAACATTTTAATGAGGTTCTCTAAATTAGGTTTTATATTAATTTGTAATCACTCGTGTGATTTTGAGTAGAATAGGAGTATTAACTTATTAAATAGTACCGTCCTATTGGCGTTATCTATTCTCACGAATAGGTTAATTCTCTTGACATTTCAAGAGATATAGAATGATAGAAATGATAGAATATTATATCCAGCTGCACTAAGCTTAATGCAGTAGATGCATCATGCATGAGAATTGAGAAGAAGATGTTTGGACGCCTTCAATCAAAGGCTCAGACGTGCGAAAAAGTTGAGGCCGGAATTTTGCCGAGGAAACCTATTAGTAACTGCTAACTACCCAATTTTGAGCAATGATTGTCTAATATGTGAAAGACATGGTTTAAATTTTGGTAGCTATAGTTGGCAGAAGTACCTCCCATCCTCCTATTTCTTTTCGGTGGCTTCAAAAACGTAATGCTGTATGATGCTAAATTAATATAAAACAAAAACACGCGCCGGGAACGAGGCAGGTCTACCGTCTACGACGATAAAAGAAAACATCTCTCTGAAACCAAGACGAAGCATGTACAACAACCAATCCTAATACCTTGCTTTTACAGTTTACCAGCAGTTTACCTTTAGACACAAATCAAGGGCGCATGCGTGGAAGCGGATAAAGACCCTGGGTACGAGTTTTACCAAACTCTAAGTTGTGACTCACAACGCACACTACAATAAGTCTCCAAACAGAAAGTCAACTTTATTTTCCTTCGTAGGATTGTTTAGACAAGACATAAGATTCTTAGCGATAACATTTATTGAAAAAAAATGGGCGATGAACATACACAAGCGTCTGCCATTTCAGGAATCAACGATCATGCATCCGAAAATCCAGTCACTCTTCAAGAAGGCAACGTGCTCGAAAGAGACTTGGAAAATTTTGTTGTTGTGGGGTCTGATCCCTCCGTTAGCAATGAGGATAGTGAAGGTCCAGGGCGACGACCAAAAACCGAGGAAGAAATGAGGGAATGTAAATACTGCGAGTTCAAAGCCAAAGATTGGCCGGTAAGTATAATAAAGTTCTTGTCACTTTTTGTATGTTGATTACAATTGATTGATTCACTCAACCTTCTAAATTTGATATTTAACTTAAGTCAATGACTCAAGGTTAGAGAATTTTGGAGTGCACAGATCATCCCAGTTTAGTATTAAACTCCTCAGTTTAAACTAGTTAACTTCTCTGTACCAGTCCATTAATTGAAACCAAGGCCACTGTTATGGTAAAGTATTTGATGATAGATCCCCTTGTAAATCTCTTGTCAATGAGCCCTGGCATTGATGAATATAACACTTTCCCAAACAAACAAAAATAAACTACTAATATATACATACAATGTTGAGATAGTAAATAGTTTTCCTCAAAGAATGCAGCAATATGTAAGCCTAAATTCCATGACTCTTCCCTTGTTTATTCTCTTAGTAATGAGAATAACACTTACATCTTGATTAAAGATCATTTGACTTATGACATTTAACTTAGCATCAAATGTTGTATAACAACTGCCTAAAATAGACAAAAACACTTCTCGACATTTGCACATTTTTATCAATTTTTATCAACACATGGCTTATTTTTATCAATTTTAAACTCCCATTTTAAACCTATTTCCATCACCTGTTTCCAGAATTCAGGCATTTAAAATGAACTTTAGAAAGCATAGGCGTACGAGGCGGGGGGCCCCCAGTTTAACCAGAAATATTAATTAGTCGGGCAATTTGTATTTACGATTCGGGCAATTTCTACTTAAGTGATTTGGTCTCCACACTACATAAAAATATTTGAGAATGCTCAAATATGGTAGAATATATATGCTTGCAGCTTGCGTAAACCCGAATTAAACGAAACAAAAATAATTGAAATAAACATGCTTTTCCGTATGTGCCACTGACTACCCTATGTGCCACAACTGATTGGCGCAGCAAAACTCACCATGTAGTTACGAAACACTTCTATCATTTTGTAAGTTTGTAACTTTACTAACTTTTATGGCAACTGTACATAATTTAATCCGAGATTTAATCGAAGTTGGGGAAGGAAATCATGTCCTTTATGCACTAGATAGACCTCAGAATCCTGACTTTATTTTGCAAAATCTAATGCGGAAAATGCAAGAAATCACATTTGCGGGTCACTAATTTTCAAAAATTCCCCCTCCCCGGACCCCCCTAGTGGGGCTCACGCCTTCGGCGTTCACATCTCGGCTCTCCAAAACACTGACCCTGGCTACGCCGCTGCCTAGATTCAGCAAAACGATTTCCCCTTTCCGATTACGTGCTTCGCTATGAGTGGAAATCAAATTGCCTAAATAATGTGAAGGCTGTTAAAGTTTCGTCGTAGTACCCAAGCAGGAAATGGTATTTCAGCGTTTGTACGTTCTGGGGGAGCAGACCCCTGGACCATCCTTGATTTTCTCGGTCTTCGGCGCTCGTCAGGCAGACTATCCCGCCCCCCCCAAAATTTCTAGGCCTGTACGCCTATGTTAGAAAGAAATTCCATCGCTGCATTTTGTACAAGTTTATAACCTGATGATTTCCATTGCAATAGAATCCTTATGTTGAGGTCATAGATTAATATGAAGGAAGAATTAATACTAGCTTAACTTGATTTTTTAAATGTTTTGCATGGAGAGTGAAGTCGTATTATAGAAGTGATGTGATCTATGTAGCTTGCATACGTATATATGTCTTAAAACTGCATTGAACCATATTTTTAACCTTAGGAATTTGCAAAACATGTCTTCAAAATTCATCATATCAAAAAAGTGGCTGAAGCTTATAATATAAAGTTGTCAAAGGATCATCCTTTCACTTATGAATGTGATGTGAGTATTTTGGTCATAGTGCAAAAAGTTTGCTGGGAGTCTGCACCTCTCTGGCCTCACTGTGACCAGTCAGTCATGTTTCAGAGTTTTATGAAAAGTTGAAAAGCATTTATTTTCGTTGTGCTCTTCTTTTTAATATGTTATATAAAGAAATATAATATCTACAGCAGCTAATGTGCTCAAAATTCAAAACTCAAAATTTGAAGATACTACTTTTGGATTACAACAAGGATGAGTACTTGGTCCTCACTTTCTTTACTTAGTATGTCAACAGAATTTCAATAATTTGTTGAAGACACTAACATAATAATATAATAATAATAATAATAATTACCTAGTAAAATAAACACAAGTTTATTAGAGCTGTCTAAAAAAATGCTGTCTAAATCTATATCATTATTGTTTTCAATTAATTTATCATCTGTTAATTTTTATTCAGTTTCTTAATTTAATTAAATTTTATAGAACATACAAATTTTTTATTAGAATAAATATTGAACTAGGAAAATTAGTTGGGTCTTAGTCTCTTAGATGTACATGTACAGCTGGAAGGAGAATCCCAAAATTAGTAAAATCAGAAAGGTTTGCAAAATGTTGTAAAGTATGAAAACTATTGCTGTGTGAAATTAGCAAATTTTGTATAAGCCAGTATTATGCGCAAAAAAACATTACCACTTTTCAAAAAGTTATACTAATTTGGATAAAATTTGTCAAATTTGCATGCAATTCTGAAGTTATACAAACAGATTTAGACAGCATTATTTTTGACAGCTCAAATATACTTCTATTTATTGTGCAAGTTAATTGTTATTATACTTAAAATAGAGTAGAATTGATTAGAGCACCCAAATGTTTATCGGCTTCATAAATGCTTTGATAAAAACCTTGGCAAGTAAAAAACCACAAAGTTTGTCTTTTCAATATCTATTTCCATTTATTGTTTGGGTAACTTGAATCAAATTCCAGATTTTTGAAGGAAAATAATATGTTAGTGTCTTCAGTGATACTAGTATTGACAGAAGAAATAGTACAATGTAAACTACTAGATCTTATATACCTTATATACCTGTACAGTACATCTTGGAAGAAAAAAGATAAAATGCACACAATGCTGTATGTACTATACTTTTTTATAGGAGAAGAAGAGTGATTGATTGATTGATTGAATTGATTGATTGAATTTAATAATCGTAATTTGCAGTTAGTAAAAACTGAATTATATACGATATACATAAAAGACACCTAAAGGTATATACATCCATAAGTTTAACTAAATCTAATATATAATTATCTTACAATTATAACAAATTAGGCTATTGTTCGAGACTGTTAGCGATTATGAAGGAGTTCTTATACCGATCAGTTCGAATTCGAGGTAGAGAAAATTTTCTACATCGTTTTAGGGAATATTTACAAATTTTTTCCTGAGGAACTAACGAATTTAATTTATGATCTCTAAGAGTGCAATTATAATGTATGTAAAGTAATGTGTGCAGATTAAAGTCAATTTTTCATAAAACTCTGACACATGGTTACAGTGAGGCTCAGGAGGATCTAGCCCCCCAGCAATCTACCATACTTTATGCCTAAGTTTGATCAAGTACTGTTAGCATAGATATTTAGATAAAGTGGTTAAATCCAAAGTTAGTTGAATGTAATATTGATTATGAAATTCTCCTTCACTTTGAACTCTCTCTTTTCTCCTGCCACTTTGTCAATATAGCTGTAATTTTTTTTCTAGCAAATTATTTTATTTATTTAATTTTTTATTCACGTGTATATGTATCAACTTATTTATTTAAACTCTAATTTTCATAAGATATGTTCAATCACTTGCTGTGGACATCAGTCTTTTAATGCACACATGTTGGGAACAAAACATAGAAAGGTAGGTTTGTTTTACAATCTTTAGGTACTGTAGTACCGAATTAAATGCATCAAGAAATAATTTTTTTTTGAAACTGAAATGTATATATAAATATCGTGCTAGTTTTAGCATTTGATTCAATATTACCAATTTCGCTTTAAGCATATAAGATTTTCAAGATGTAAAATGGTAGCAATGATGCAATGCTCATTATGGCTAATCTTTTTGGTTTTTTGCTACATTTAAATGTATGTTCTTCATATTTCTTGTGTTAGGCATTACAACTGAAAGCTATGGGCTTCGAAAAATCTGCCGGAGGTATTAGCTTGTACATTCATCCTAGTTCATTTGACTTCAATTTCTAAGGATTTAAGAAGGAACGTGAGGGATAGGGACGCAGACAGATAGTACTTCGTAGCAATTTGATGTGGCACATTTTGTAATGGCTAAAAATAGCCCAATACCCCCGAGGGTTCGAAACTTCACGGTCGTTCGGAAGCTACATAATCCTTCATTTTCTGTTGACATGTGTCATAATGAGAAACTTCTCATTTTTAATTTTTTGTGCCCAAATTTTAAATTTTAGGGGGAAAATTGAAAAGCAGCCGGTTTCCCAATACGCAAAATATGAAGCTCTATGACAGGCCTGAGAAATCTGTGAAAGACAAAGCAATTGGCTCACAGATTTTTGCCAATTATCCGCAGCCTTTGATAGGTAGTGTAATATGTCATCATACTTATTCATATACCGTGTATTTACGTTTTTTAAATTTAGCAATTCATACGGCACTATTTAAAAGCAATTATCCCCGTACATTTTCACAACTCCATACATGTAGTCTACATGACAAGTTCGTGTAAACTACATGTTGGATGAAAATGCGCTATGGTCATTTCCAACGTGCATGCAGAGTGATTTGAACAACGTATGTCATTTTGAAAATAGTACACGTAGTACTGCAATCTATTGAACTGAATGACGTAAAATATGAAAAACTAAATCTGTACACTGATATTACTGTGTTTATCTAAGCTGTACTGCCTAACCAAACATTTTATACTGTACAGTAACAGTATATGGTTTACAGTGCTTTAAACGATGGGTAGTGTCTGGCTGAAACCTTTTGACACTCCTGGCTTTGACGCACTGTACTAATCAAAGTTTGGTGTGCAGAATAGCTGCATGCACATACTTAGTTCATCTATCCAAATTATTAATCGACTTTAATCGAATTTGGTTTTTCGGGTATTAGTTTATTGAAAACAATGAACGGCTACGGTAAAACTCTTTTCTACTACCAAGACCAAAGTTTTTCCTTGGTTGTGGTAGCAATGAATAAACTGCATCTCAATGATTGTCACCGACATTTTCAATTTTTTATCTGGCTTGAGATATAAATTGAAGTGTTTGTGCATGTTTTACTTGCATATACTGTAACCTGTGCTATATATACTTCGACCACCCACACGCAGGGCTGGAATACGTGACAGAAGTCCAGGTGGCTGGACAAAATCCACGCTATGAATGCTCTCTATGTGATGCGAAATTTGAACATGATCTCAAGTTTCCTCACTTGGTTGGCCAAAAACATCGTACGAATGTCTTGGTAAGTTCTAACATTGTATTTCACCTTGAGCTTTTGTTGAAAAGCGAGAGGTTGTTTACCGTCATATTGAATATATGACCTTGGTAAACTTGTTGCAACTAATATTTGCACTGGTCTTGTAAAAGACTTGTGCCATAGCGTTCGAAAATTAATCAGATCTGCAATTTGTCTGTCAAAAATGTAGCTTTGATTATGCTGTATTTGTTTCAAGCTGACCACAAGTACAGCACACCCTATTGACAAGTTGTAAAATTTTTTGTGGAATCGTCAGACTTGTTAAATGGTCGTTCTGATACCCTTGTACATTCTGCAGGTCATTACTTGTATAAACATGTGCATGTGCAGCAAGTTGCCCTACTAATACTCACTGGTCGCAAATCACAGTTGGATCGCGATACTGCTATGCATGTATCCAATGCATGCAGGAGCTCAGACGTTTTTTGCGGGGTATTTAAATTAAACGACAAAATTGTTGTGAACTTTGTTAAAGTTACATAAATATAATGCCTAACTGACACACGTCGGTTAAGGTTTTAAGAAATTGCACGAGTCGTTCAATAGCAGGGTCAAAATTAATCTTTTCAGTTGTATAGCTACAACCGGATTAGTGGGTTTGAATATTACTATTCCCATGCACTGACGTGTTTTTAGGATTTAATAAAATCATTTACACCTTGAATTTTATTTGGTAAACTGCCAGAGGCAAAAGTGAAAAAGCATGCAAGTTTAAAACGTCGACGGTAAAGAGTTTTATACAACCAGCCCCTGAAGATGTTCAATCAATTAGGGCCCGGTTAATATATACGTCTGTCGTTTTGATATGCATCGGTGTCTGCGAATCGTATCAATGCTGTGTGTTGTTTATCTAGAAAATCAAGCGGCCTGGTTTTGTAAAAGAATTGCAACCGACCACAATGAAACGTTCTGAGCTCACCGCTGCATTGTTAAAAGAATCCTTAAATTTGGAACTAGCAGAAGGACGCCAGGAAGTTAAAGTCAGGGTTGAGAAGCCGCCCCCAGGGGTTCGCTCACCCACAGGTTAGTGTTGTTTCCACATATGCACAACGACCCACGCAGACCTATATTTTTCGTAACACCTGTTTCGACTTTCGCGTGTTAATTCCGAAAGGAAAATTTCATACCTTTGACAGAAACCTTTCACGGGTAGCCAATCCTCGCCGCACCCTGCAGTGCATCCCATATTTTCCATTTTGTGTTGAAATCAACCTTAAACTTTCCTATTTGTAGAACACGCTCAGTTGTGGGGCCAAAGCGGCAGGCGTGGTGGAGCCGTGGGTATACGCAGAGGAAGAGGAATTGTTTATTCACAACGAGGTTCATTGAATAGGAGAGGAACATCAAACCCCAGGGGCAGAGGATATAATTTGGAACAATACAATCCTCACCAACCCCCTCAAGGCGGCTCTTTTGGCATGAATAACTCGTTGGACTATGGATATGGTTATTTTCCTCAAGAGCCCTTAAATTATAACATGCCATATAATGCAAGTTATAATAATGATCCTAACTTCAACACAAGCTTTCCGCAAAGGTTAGTTGCATTAATAGCATGTGCATACAAATATCTACCGGTGGTAACTAAACATTGCAGTTTAAGACATAGAGAATAATACATGGATGCGCGGAAATATGGAATTTATTTCGAGTGCATGTTGAGAATAGTATATTGAACGAGTGAGCGCGCAGCGAACGAGTGAGGTATCATTATAAAATAACTGTATATAACGCGTGTTCTGATTGGTCGAAGCCCGTATTTGGATCAGGCCATCCAAACACGGAAATTAAAAGTTTTAAAGAATTTAAATTTAAACCCAGGCCTTGTCGTTGTTATTTTATAAAACAATTTTCGGCTCGTGTTTCTCTCCCAACATTCCCGCGTGTTTGGATCAGGCCATCCAAACACGGAAACCATTAAGTAATTGTATATTCTTAACACGAGAAATAAATTCCATATTTTCAAGCATGCATGTATTTCTTTTTTTATTATGTAATAAAAAACAGTTTTTTGGAAATTTTTTCACCCCCCTGGGCGCGTATTCGTGATTCCTGATTGGTGAGTCAAACACGAACATTCCCACATGTGTTATTATCGCTTTTCACAATGGCGGATTCGCCAAGAAAACGTTGCATATTATATAAAAATGCTGGTAATAATGAGGGTTACCTTGAACCAAACGGATTACAATTTCACTGAATCTCTGAATCTGAATGCTTTTGTTTGTGTTCCATTCAAAATCGTTGTATTCAATTTTATATCATGTCATTTTATATTTTACAATCGTTATATTTCAATTTTGCATTGATTTTTTTATTTATTAGCTCGTTTTAAATATGCATTTAATTAATATAGTTCTAGCTTTGAGGAGGCATACACTGAGAGTCAACCTCCAATGTTCAGCAGGGGATATTCTGCACCGCATCAACCACCTGAACAAACTCCGCGAAGAGTGGAAACAAATATTTCGCCGAAGGTCAGAATAATTTCTTTCAAAGAAATCTTTCTTCGTTACCTAGTCATGGCCGAGGTCTATCAGATGTAGCATGATGCAAAGTAATGCAACTCTGGTAGTGTAATATATATCCTGGCCACGTCATTAGCACGTATACCACATGCTATCCTGCATGCTTTTATACACTTTTATATAGCTATATATACATGACATGCAGAAACTTTCTTTTCAGTGACAGACTTGTTTTATCGAAATTTAAGTATTACGAGTATATTATTTTAAGAGTTAAAAGGTCTTATTATTATATAGAGTTCGTTATCGTCCGGTTTAGCAAGCGCCTTTGGAGATTTGGTAAGAGTATATGCAGGCATTCTTTAATGCACTCGCTATTCAGTTGTATAAATTTGTATCTCGCCCAATCAAATTGCATAAAGTTATTTAAATCAGTAAAGGACGATTTTTATTTATTCTATTCTGTGCATAAAACATAAATCTCTAAATAATCTTATCTTTTTTTCCTTTCAAGATGGGCTTCCTGTTCATTTACATTAATTTTCATTATTTTAACAGACTAAACTTGTAAAAAATGACGATGACGCATCTGTTGCTCTTCAAGTTTCAAATGCATTGACTCAAGCATTGCTGCAATACAGAATGGTTAGTTTATCATATTTACATGTTTACCAATTTTTTAGTCCACAGAGTTGTTTATATCTCGTTTTTTCAACTTGCATCCCAGGTACGATGTGTACATTTTAATACTTTAAAAGCAGTTACTATATAAAACATAGTTAGGTGTGGTGTAATGTGGTGTGGTGTGGTGTTAATTGGAGCTGAATAATTTCGATAAAAGAGTAAATCCTTTTATTTGTTCAACCATGCGTTACTAACCGCACCGTTGTTATAAAAGATGATTTATATATTTTTTGATGAATCGTGCAGATGATGGTTCTTCGACATTTTCGATTAAATTGCTCCTACCTTTTACCTCGAAGGGAGTTACTTCGGGGACTAAATCTTTTTTTTTATTTCAGGATGATATTAATAGGCTGGAATCGGACTAAAGATAGCATGCAGATACAGATGTTTGTGGCATGTAGTGGAAACGCACATTTGACATTTCTCTGGACATTGTAAACCGAAGAAAGATTTGTTGCTATTTTTAGTTATTTAAAGATACATTCACAAACAAGCGCTAACTTTGTTGTTTAGAGTTTAAACATATATTAAATGATATATGTGAAGATTGTAAGTCATAATGGAAATAATATGTTTTGGTGCATGTTTTGCACATTGATTTAATCATTTTGGATATTTCAAAGTTTATGAGCAGACGCCCCCCCCCCCCCAGCTCCATGTCGAAAGCCAACAGGGATGTGTATGTTCAGTAAATCTTAAATACGCGAATTTTATTCTTGATTCGTTTTCAACCCTGAGTCAGTGTCAACTGAAACGATAAATCGGCCGCCATCTTTGAAGCCAATTTGAACCGAAAGGGGTACCAGTGCCAATCCCTTCACAGTCAACGATGTAGAAAGGGGCTGCCACTGGTACCCATTGCGACTTCAAATTGCTTGAAAGATGGGGGCCAAGACTTGCTTCAAATATACCAATCAGATATCGTTCCAATCCAGGGTTTATAGAGTTTACTGTCCTGAGGTCATTGCTTTCATTATATGCGTTTACGGTTGCCAGATTTGTGAATATTTGAGGGCAAATTGTCATTAGTATAAGAAAACAAAAGGCAAGACAAAGAGAACAAAGGGCCATTGTAGCAGACACGTTGGTCATATTCGGCAAATTTTCTCCCGGTAAAGAGGGCTCAGTTTTTCAGCGGTCTTCGCATAAAAAATTAAAAGCTTTTCGTTTTACGCCTTGCTCTCAATTTTATGTAAGTTGTCCGCTGACAATATGAGCCTGCACGAGTGGGAGAAACTTAGCTAAGTTGGACCAGCGTGAGAGATTGGCCTTCAAAATTCACAAATCTGGCAATTGTGGCTTGAATAAGTTTGGTTTATACGAATATACGTTTATTACGCGTAATCGTCCAGGTGAAATATTCGAATATGCTTCGTTAGTATAAGATCTAATAAAACTGGACGTTAATAACATGTCATAAGCAGCACATCAGTTAATAGACTGTAAAGTCTGACATGCAATTGAGACGAGTATTCGATTATTCGGCCGTCAACTTGGGAAATTTTCTGGTTCAAGCAACTCGTTTCACATTGATTCCCGGCAGATCATATCGCAATTCCCATCAGAATTCGAGGTGAGGTATATTTCTTTCTATTTCTCCTAATTTTAGACACTGAGAAGCAGGCTGTAGTATTGCATTTCTCTGTGCGTACAACATTTTATATTTCTCGTGTCAACTATAATGTCATCCGCCATATTGAATTTCCAAATTTGGTACGGTTATGCCTGCCCTTACGGTATGTGCATAATTATATTTTTGTTCAAAGGTGCGTGGTAACTCCTGACCAACATAAGTTGTTACCTTAATTGTTATAAGGGGAATTAAGCGAGTTGTTGAATCATTTTTGTATTATTTATATTTTTTTTTGGTGCATTCCAACCGAGCCTTCCATTCCATTACAACTATAATGTTATCCGCCATATTGAATTTCCAAATTTGGTGCGGTTACGCCTTAGTCCTTACGGTATGTGCATAATATATTCTTCTTCAAAGTGTGTGGTTCATCCTGACAAACATAAATTATCACCTTAATTGTTATAAGGGAAATTAAGCGAGTCGTTGAATCATTTTTGTATTCTTTATATTTTTTCTGGCGTTCCAACCGAGTCTCGCACAGAAAGCCTTTACTCAATGGTCGCAATATTTTATTTTTGTGAGGATGCACCTTCCATATAGGCTACGTGCGTATAGGTCACTTCACTTGTAGTAATCTAAAAGATTTTTAGTTCGAAATACCTTTTTTGCAACAAACAAGCTAGTACACTATACTCACCTGGTCGAGTCACTTGTTCTTTCTTCATGCTTTTTCTTCAGTCCAATGTAAAATGACAATCCTAAACTATAAACTAAGAAGCCCATTTCATCTGGCGCCTGGCCGTTGTAATGGTATCCTGAGGGCTGATAGAATTTGCTACCTCTACGGGCACCAATTTTAGCCTGCCATTAAATTGACTGTATATAGTGAATTGAATTGACGGGCCATAGTTGTGTTAAAGGTAAACGTGAACCATCGCAGAAGCTCAGCATTGATTAACCGTCAAGGAGCAATTAGCGTACTGTCAGAGTGAATGTTAGCTTTTACTCTATATGATAATATAATTGAATATATAGTTTCTGTCAGTTTGGAATTAGCTGTCACTGTAATTGTAAATTTATTTTCAGTTAATTTGTTTCAGTTCCCTAAACAAAATACATGTGCCCGGGCCGGCCCCTTAAGACCCTGCATGGTCCCCGGGGTAATGACCCCGTTTTCCCAACACTCTGCACGCTACTACAGGCAAAAAGACTACGGGAACTAAATCTGGAAAGGCAGTTCTTGTATGGGGATGTTCACTGTAGACAATAGCTTTTTGGGCAGACTCGCTGGGCATAATTTATCGTAGAGATAAAATCACACACAAATCAGGTTCTCATAATAGTGCAGTGTATTTTTAGCATAATATTATTAAGGAACTTTAACACAATATCAATTAATAATTTTTCATCTAGTAATAATTTACAAACGCTAAATAAGTTCAACTTCATTCAAGTTGTTTTTTTATGAATTTTTACCAAATGCAACTGTTCCCACGTCACTTAAAGTAACTACAAACAGTATAGTATATATGTACACATATAAATAATCATATATATCAATCCCAAATTACGCTACATACCGTAATCAAAGAACAATAAAATAATTTCATAATATAGTTGTTAATTTTATTTACTCTTATGACAATTCCTATAGTTTGCCGTAATAAAAAACATGGCGTCATGTCGATTGTGCAGCCATTTCAGCCATTTACGTTAGAAATGTTAAACTACATTACGTCAACACTTGTGTGGAATATGAGATATGTTCCCTTTAACTTCACTTCGAAAAATACTGTTTTAAAGATCGACATGCCGCCTTCTTTTTAATTATGGCAAATTAAATTAACACCACAATCGAATAACGTACCTGTAAATTCGCAACATGTATAAATTTTAATGAGTAAATCTAGTTGAGCACAAATTAATAGTGACGGTGCTCGTGCCAAGAGTAGCATGGCTTACAGTTTAATATCCTCTTACTTTAGACAACTTGTTTATTTCGTCGTTGATATTTATAATCAACTACAATATATCTGACCTGCATATATAGTCAAAGATTACACAGCTAAAGGTGTTGATAGGTGCTGATCCCTATACCGTATAGGTGATGTTACTTAATCTCACAATCTGTATTGCTTTCATATCATCCAAACATTGAAATAACGCGCAAATGCACATTACAGATAAGATAGATAAGCGCTAGGTGGTTCCTATAACCTACGGTACCCTGTGGTCTCTCAAACCATCAGTTTGAAATTGAAAACTGATCGAATTGTGGGCTGGAGGTCTTTCCAGTCATTTTTTGTAGATTGTACTGCTTCTGCAATTGTATCTAGATGCATTTGCACAGCTAAACCCAATGCTATAGTAATAGATTTCTAGCTATGACATAATATGTCGTGAAAAACATTTAGCTATACTAAAAAATGCCCAAAAAATAAAAATATAGAAATATTCTAAAGGCTATTCGAAAGGTGTATGAAATATAAATTCATGGTAACCAAAAATTAGGTTCTAAAATAATGTAGAAAAATACTTGTCTGAAAATAATCTATATGTACTACTAGTGTATTAAATTATACTACATACGGCGATGGACATAAGCCAAAAAATATATAAGCTCAAGCCTCGATAAGTAACCAAGCGTTGGTTAAAATGGCGTGAGGTGAACACTGATCTCATTTGTGTAAACCATCGAAAGTGGAATGTGTAAATATTACAATATGCCAGTATATTAGTGGTTTTGTTAAACCATATAGTCGATAGAATACATGGTTTGTATGATAGCCGATCGATATAAACTAGGTTTTTGCAGCTAAATATGCTATGCTGTATTTTATGGTTTGTGCAGCTAAATGTGCAAGTTGTAATATTTTGACTAAATTCGAGCAGTACGTGAATACAATTTCACCGAATCTTCGAACCAAGTATTCTATTGAATATCAGTTAAACAGAGTTTCGGCTGACTTTATAAAACGTTTGTGACCATATATTCGGAAGTTTCACCAGATTGTGGCTGATTACAAAAGCTCATGATAATCTTGAACAATCCCTTTTGTAAACAAAGTCTCTGATTGGTTTAGAAATCTATATGTGCCAACCGCAGTACTTAAACGTATTTTCATGATGAACTTCTGAACTTCGCCACGAATGTTTGAACTTCTGAACAACCGAGTTATCGAAGTTAAGAATATTTTCGTCAAAAATTTTATGAAATCAGCTGCATGTGAATGTTTATGTCGATCCAAATATATACTGGCAATACTTACGGTAAAATACTTCCAAAGTATAAAGAAGGTAATATATAGAATCTAATCAGTTATCTTCATTTAAAGATATACGAATTTTGTAATGATCTCACTGAGATTTTCTAACGTTTTAACAAGCATACAAGAAGTATAAACACTATTTAGTAATGCTTTTTGGGCATAAACATGCGTTTGGCCCCCTCGCGTGAACTTAAAATGAGCAAAACGTACTTATATAGGCGCACATCAAGTTTCCACTGATCCGATAAATTTGGAAGTTAAAAAGTATAGATACACGAATCTTCGGTGTATGGATAACAAAGCTCCCAAGTGAATAGACCTTATGCATAATGACGTATCAGGCCGTGACGCCTGCAGGGAATTCTGGTCTTAATAGTCTATTTAGACCAGCATCCCTGCAGGTGTCACGGCTTGTTACGTCATTATGCATAAGGTCTATTGGTTATTTATACTTCTTCATTTTGTTCAAACGCAAAAGCGACTAGCGGCAGGAACGAAACAACAGACACAATTAGCCTTTCTCACGATAAGAAATATCTGCCATTTTAAAGTTAATATTTTTGCATGATTTAATTTATAGAACCAATAGCAAACATTTATTATTTTTAACGTAAAATGGTTTCAAAATTTCATTCTGAAAAGTGTTCTTTGTTTACTTTTAAACAATTACGTCAACCCATTAAAAGAAATATATGTGAATACCCAGAAAACGGTGGATATTCGCTATCGAGAAAGGCCAATGGCAACGCATGGACGACTTGCGCTTTAGACTAATTTTATAAAATTTCGCAGCCAAACTTCGCATTTGCACTAATTTAAGTAAGATCTGTCTAGCAGTGATGATTTGTTTTCTTCTAGTTACTTCCATCAAAATTTAGTCTACAGCGCAAGTCATCCGTTGTCTACACAAGTGTAGTGTCTGTCGTTTGGCTTACACAATCGGCGATATATGTTGCAACATCCTCCCTTTTGATGTTGAGGCAACACTTATATAATTTGTCGATCGTGGACGAATTCTTCGTCTGCCATGCGCAAAGCATCCTTTCGGCCGCAGTTGTTTTGTCCACTCCGAAGTTGGCGATTTCCTCGTAAGTAAAATCGCCAAAATTCGCCGCTAGTTCTTTCCAATTCGGCCTACCTTCAGGAGTGAGCAGCTCCACGAGTTTCATAAGAAAAGAGGCGCTTTGACTGCGCAGGAGCTGGCCTGTAAACAACAATGTACCAGTCAGTATTCAATGTTTTGTTCAAGGTATATTGAATTTCAATCAAATTGAATCACACGGGCAGAGGCGTAGCCAAGAATTTGGGAAAGGGGGCCAGCAAGAACCTATGTGGGGACAGGCCGGCAGTGCGACTTGGGACAAGGTTTGTGCTGAGTTTTTGCACTAATGACGGCATAACAATTCACTCACAGGGGCCTAAAATTTTTCAAGGGGGATCGAGCTGCCGGGCCTAGCTACGCCTCGGCATACGGGACGGTTCCTGTAAAGAGTTTGGCTTAAACGGTGGATAAGTTCAAAATCGAAAACAATATAATTAATTTCCAGTACATATTTATTGCATAAGATCTACGTTCAGTTGAAGATGAGCCTATGTATTTAAACTTGGCTTCGAACAACCTGCCCCAGGTTAACAATCTTGTCTAAAACTTATTCCTATATAAAATATCCCTCCTGTATGCAGCGATTATTTTACCTGTTTGTAATTGCTTGTATCGTCGTTGCCGTGGCGCACCGCCGAGTAACCCTTCTCCCTGACATTGTGGGTAGTTTTTCTTCGTGCACCAGTAAACGATAAAACCCACGGCGAGGAAAAAGAAAATCAACACCACCGCTGTTACAATGAGCAGTGTCAGGTTCGTCGACGAGGTACTGCTTTCGTTTGTTTCTCCTGAAAAAATATTCGCATACCATGCGTCAAATACCCCAAAAGCGTTGAGTACGAAATCGCGAATGTAATACGAACAAATATTTTTTCCAAAACGTTTTCTTTACCTTTAGTTGTTCGCAATGAATGTATAGTTTTAGTTCTTCTGGTTGATGCTGTCAGTGTTGTGGGACCGTGAGTCGGACTTTTTGTCGTCTGCGGCACCGCATCACACAACGCGTCCTTTGTGGCAATACATTTTTCCAAGTATATTTGGCACTTTGTGCATGGAAGACAAGTGCTGTTCTTATTTTCGGTCATATTAGAGAAATGACCCTGAAAAGGATAAGCATGCATAGAAAATGGTTAAAATTGTTGTCACAGGATTAAAACGCTCCTCGGTAGTTCGAAATTGCCAGGCTTATGTATCATCCTATTTTCATGACAAATAACAATGTGAATATAGAAATATGAAAATATGATTCAGAGTAAGGGAGTTGGGAATTACGCATGTCAGTTCGGCATGTACGTATATATACATTAGTGTATATTATTGATTGACTCGCTCATTCATTTAGAAAGTCAGTAAATTACAGCTAAAGGGGAGGGAGAAAGTTTGAATATAAATGTATAAATTTTGACCTTACACAAAATTGATGCATGTGAAAAGGAATATTTAGTTATATACACATGCAAAATACCTTTTGCACCTACCTCAGGGCACACTTCACATTCCGTATTATGCCGTGTCGTGCAGGTCCTAATAGGGTATTCCCCTTCCCCGCACGTTTGACACGGCATACAGGCCAAAAAGTTCGCGTTGTAGTATTCGAACGTCGGACAGTCGTCACATTTCTCTTTAGAATTGTATGAATTCATTACGGTGCCGAACTAAAATTGAAAATATTATTAACTTTATTCATTTATATGTGAAGGAAATCTTAAAAGATCTACGTACTATTCAAAATACGAGCGGCCGATCTGTATGGGTATTTACAATGGCGAGTGCGTAGCACGAACCATTGTAAATCCCATCACAGATCGGCCGCGAGTATTTTAACGTGCTTGTTAAATGAGTAAATTAAGCTTAATGCATATTAGGGCATGTGTGTGACAAAGTTATGGATACTAATTAAGATTGGTTGTATCAAAGTTAATATAATTAACAATTCATGAGACCTTTATGGAGAATTACAGATGTATTATACATGTGACCAAAATACTGCGCATTGATTGCAAGTTAGACTCATTAATTATTCATTAATTTCACAAATGTATATAATAAAATTATGCCTTTCATGTTTCTCTTATATATGTATTATAGGCTATATAGTCAGCTAGGCTAGCGTTTTCATACGTATTTTGGCATTCTGGGAAGGAAAAATGATCGGTTTCAGCATTTTTTTGAGAATAATACAAACACATCTTTTGAATCAAGTCAAAGCTATCTAAGTCATTTTGTCAGTACAAAATACACCATGTTGACCGTGAACATTTTCGAAATTTCTGTTAAAGAAAACGCGAAACTGTTCATCCCAATCAAAAATTATTTTTCTCTTTTTGCAAAAAGGTAGCGACAATGACTGTCTTATAAAATTTAGAGGAATCCAAATGTCCAGCGATCAAAAGTTAGAACAGAGTTTAGACGTGAGAGTTTTAATCTTTTGGCAGCTAGAATCTATATAATGAACTTCCGTCATCGGCTAGAAAACTTGAATCTAGGGTTTTCTTTAGAAATTCTTAGATGAACGTTTTTATCATACATATGCCTCAGTACTATATTAAATAGTAACCACTCAGTTTTACGCCAGCGTTAATTTATTTATAATATTGGATTATTGGAAAAAGATTTATTTATACTTACTTCGCAGGAACTACATATTGTGTTGTTGTAGGGCGTACAATGCTGTTTTACATAACTATGCGGTCTACACATATCGCAGCATAGACCTTCGTGTTTGTATTGCCTCTTCCCGCACAAGCTGCCACGAGCAGTCGCCAGGATCGCCAGTAGAAACTAGAACAACAAAACATCCATCAACGTTGATTTTTATTGGTATAAGTCGGGTGAATCGAATGGGGTGAATCAAAATTCGTTACGTTATACCTATTTCGGGGGAGGGGAGGGGGGGGGGAGGAGTGAAAAATAAAAATAGATAGGGACTTCCATCGGTCAAGTAGTTTCGTAATACAGTAAATAACGCTTCCATGTATCGCAACAACTTCAGTACTTTACAACAGATCGTCTAACATAACTATCTTTACAATAGACCTTATGCATAATGACGTAACAAGCCGTGACGCCTGTAAGGAATTCTAGTCTTAGTATAATAACGGCGGGAAATTGTGAAGTTTTAATTTTCCGCCATGAATACTAAGACCAGAATCCCTTGCAAGCGTCACGGCTTGTTACGTCATTATGCACAAAGAAAATGTAGCAATTTTGGTCTCTCGAAAACGTTTTCTTTTGTGGATCGAAAACATGCCGATAAGACATGATTTATATCCTACGAGAAGCAATACTCCGTCTAGCCTGCTAGCATTTCTGGCAGCTTTGATTGAAAATCAATATGACTTGATGCAATTAATTATAGAAGGCTATCAGCATTGCACACAGAGTTTAACATCGAATTGGACAGTTCATGCACATGTAAGTAAGTAAAACTCTTGACCACCTTGACAAGCTGTATGAAGCAGCTATATGGTAGCTCAAAGGAATTTTTACTCACCAAAAGTGGAACCATTGACATCATTAAATCCTATTTGTTTCCTAGAAATTCATAAAAAAGAAAAAATATTATTGTTTTCTCTTGCACATGAGTCCAAGCGCATTTCATATGGGGATTCTTTGGTGCAAAATATGAGCACATAAATGTAATTTGGTTGGATTGGAATGCTTGAGATTTACTCCGCGCCTAAATATGCATACTTTAACTGGTATGCATGCATGGTTTTCTACGAAAAGCGTCTTTTTCGATGGGGCATTTGGACTATAGCCGGTCGGGTTCATGCGCATACTATTTGCGCGACAAAAATGTACGCCTGCATGATGATATGATCAGTCAGCGAAAAATCCTGCATGAGAGTATTATAAGGGTTCATTTTCTTGAATAGGAAATAAGTGTAAAAATAATAGTCTGTATCTCCTAGCTATTGTGGAAATGTAGTTTATGACGCTAGAAATAATCATCATCTTTGCACTAAATAATTGCCTCTTTTTGGATAAGTTTGCATCCACAGTTAATTTGTTATTTGTCTTACGAACGTTTACAAAGATTTTCAGTTTATATAATGCTGTTATCTTATATGTGCTGAACAATTGACAATAACTAGGAATCTATCGCCTCCGCAATGTCGCGAAACCTCCCCACACTGTGGTGATATATTAAAGAAAGAAGAGCTGAGTAAAGTATTATAAAGATATAATTAAATGTAATATGCCAGCTTTTTCTTGCGAGTCATCGTTTTGTGCAGTTTCGAAACGTACTTGGTTGTGTTCAAATATGTCCTCTTCAAAAAATACCAGAAATGAGCGGTCATCGAGCGAATAAAAAATTAGCATTGGATGAATGTTCTCCAGAATAAATATTTTAAATGTGAATTCTACCCACGAACAATCAAATTTAAAAGATCCAGTTTTCTAAGGAAATGTTCACAAAATCGATAAGTTCGTCTAGCACTCTCCCCTCCCACACAAATTTCAAACATTTCATATGTCAGCTTAAACATCCGCTTGCTACACGCTTGCTGCTTAATATTAAATCTATTCCAGCATGTATATGCATTTCTAGATTTTTTAAGAAAGAATATGCGCCTCAATTTATAACAGTTTAGACTATTGATGCATGTTCTTTTTTAACTATAGGCAATTAAAGTAGCTATAAACATACCTTAAATTAAACTGGGTAAATTCCTGAACATTTGTTTATACTTTATGTATATGATATAATATTGATGTACTGCAATATTATTGTATCGATTTTGATATATGAACTGCGATACTATTGTTGTAGTATTACTAGTATAGTATACAATTTTTAACCTACTTTGTTCGACCGTAGCTTTTTGCGACTATATAAATCAATGGCGTTCGTTTGCAGTTGTAATTTTGTTATATGTGCATGACTGCACGACTAACTTCTGTTGTCGTGACTGTGCCTATATTGCTCATACGATTGGCGAACAAACTGGACAGTGATTCAATTTATATTTTATTCCGACCTGCTGTTATAGTTCACAGACTTTATAATAGAGATTTTCAGGTATTTTTCACAGCACTCGTGACTGGTAGAAAGTATGGTGTCTGACTGGTAGAAAGTATGGAGTTACACTACTAGTTACACACAAGCAAGGACCAAGTTTATATATACATGCAGGATACGAAGATCAGTTGGTCATATAGTGTTTTCTTCCATGAAAATGGTCGAGCCAATACTATATCCAGCATTATATATAAGTCGGAAGTGTTTATGTCTACATTTTTAATATTGGCGACTATGTCTGCCAAGCTTATATCAACAATAAATGTGCCAGCATAAGCGTACAGCATTAACAGTATACATGCATATACATTGTACTCAAATCTCCATAATACACATATACTTTATATAATTAATCGTGGCGATAATATATATTTAGGAATTCGTGCATATATAGTACAATATAATTTAACGAGGTATTTGGAATGCCGGAACCCTTATAGTCGCGATATAGTGATCCACCTGCTTTATATACACGTATCACGCGATCGTTCCCATTTTTACTTTCCACTAACTTAAAAATCACAATGAACCGTTTACGCTGTGGCCATTTATGTCCCCCATTAGCATTAAAAAGAACTCTCTATGTCATTGAATGTGTAGCTATATCATTATACTTTAACGAATGTCGATAATGTTCATCAAGTTTTAACTAAGAGTATCAGAGACTCTTTGATTCTTACTCTAATATTCCAAAGGTCATTCACACGTTACGTATATAGTTGTGAACAAGCGCTGTATAATGCAGTCAATGCTTTACATGCATGGCAATGCTTTACATACACTTGTGCACGCGAATTTCGCTGATCGGGTGAAATTTAAAATGACTTTGTACGGTGTGTTATTCGATCAGATACACCAGGGTAGGAATCGTATACGATTATTGTATATATAGTGCATGTAAATTAGCCGTAAAGTCTCTTTCAAATATATTATTACTTTTCGATCTTAAATCATATATCTATATAGTCAAGCTCAATTCATGCGTTGCTCCTGCTCAACTGAAGAGCTCCTGCCCAACTAAAAGTTACCAGCTCCTTCGACTTGTTGATATCTCGTAAGATGTTTCTATAAATATATGTATAGGTATTTCATATATATATGGTTTTATGCCAAACTTACCGCGAGTACTTCGCCAGAGCATAAATATATGGTACTGTATCGATCCGCCGATGTTATACGCGTATATGGCTGGTAAATATATATGTTGGTCGAATGTTTACACCTTTGGGCAGGTGTTATTTAACTGGGTGGCACTTCTAAATCGAGCGTGTTTATAAATGTACCAATCGCCAGTGGTGATCAGTTTAACGCAAACAAAACAGCACTACCTCGCCACGGAATTTCTCTCGGGTTCTGACCGAAGTATGACTTGATTAGTGGGAAATTACGAAAACGGGAATATTATAAGTGGCATTCTAGATTTAATATAACGCATGGCGTTTCCGGTGCTTATAGGGTAAAAAAGAGCATGAATATAGCGTCGAAGTCTCTTGAGCGTAGATAAATGGTCGGACATAAAAAGTAGTCTGAGTTAAAAAATAGCTGGAGGTATTCAAAAAATGCCATATTTACATAGTTTGAGCTTCTATCGATGTAGGCGGTTTGAATAGGTTAAAAACGAGACCAAAACCATGGCAATGTTCAATATATATCCGAAATAGCTGCATGTGCACAGGTCTTAAATGTATATTCAAATTTACCTCGGTTAAAATTTCGCTCTTCTTCTTTGTTGTGATCAAAAGTATCTACCAGAATTCCTCAGCGTTTCTCGATGTTTAACAAGTTGGAAGAATCTTTTGAATGTAAGCTGTAGACGTATATTCTACAATAATCACCCTCTTTTACGTTGTTTTTTCCGGCCCTAAGTGCTTCGGAATATTATATCGTGATAGAATCAATGTTTATCGGCAATTACGCCATTTTGCTTTTCGGAGGAATTTAAATTACAATGAATAACCCCCTAATCTATTGAATGACAATGCACGTGCTTCTGTTTCAAATCCTGCGCGGAAATGCAACTCAAGATTGCATAAAACTTCACGTACAATTTGCTTCAGCATTTGTAAGCATTTCTAATGGTTTGAAAAACTATGTTTCTAAATCAACAAGGATAGACGAGAAAACAGCTTAATGGCGAAAACGTGTAAATTATATAGCGGAAAAGGATTTCCACATTTTGTTTAACGACAATTATATTAGCAGCGGGGAGACATGCTCCCCATGGATTAGATTTGAATGGGGAACAGGCAAACGCATAGTTCGGATTATATTTCTGATTTGGTCAGTCTCATGCCGACTGGTTATATTGTAAAGCGACGTTGTTTGTGAGAATATGTACAGTTATCTGTATGTTATTTCATTTGTTATTGAAAGGTCGTGGAACCCCGAAACCTGCAGCTTTGAAAATCGTCGTAATTAGACTATTTGTTTTTCGATCCGCGATCATTGTATTTTATATAGCAGAAAAACTTCAAGGCCGAACGTACACACAATCAGTACTCGCGTGTACGGCCGATGGAATAATAATTAAATTGTATAACGTATATACATATATATAAAACTAATTTTATTATTCATATACATTCAAAATAGATTAGGTTTCATGGTGTGTTTAGACATTTAATGAGATGCCAACACTGTAAATTTAAGGTTGTTTCAAAGTAGCTAAAAAATGTTATCTATAATCCTAGTTGGATCGGGGAGTGCATGCATGAATCTCATCTACAAAATTTACAGCATATATAGTTATATGTATTATATATATAGATAGTGAAATGGGGGGTTATGTAGTTACCTTAATCAATTTCGCTGATGCATATATATGTACATCTATACATCATCAAGATACAAATATGCATTGTATGTATTAATTACCTACTTCTATATCATTTTAAGATAGCAGATTGGTTAATAGGCCTTATCTGTGAACAACGGGCAGAATTCATATAGTGCACCGAAATGACTAGAAATTTTATACGTCAGTATATATTTACAATGGAATGAGGAAAGCATATATTTAGCGTTTGGAGAGGAATGTTACATACTATAGAAAAAAAATACATTGGATATGCTATACGTATTATCACCTATATTCACGCGCACTACGTCTATAAATCGATCGCGAATATTGTATCAACCCATAGTTTGAAGTCACCATATACAGTAGGTGCATGCATTGATATAAATAACTTGATTTGGATGATTGATGATTTGAATTGGATGAATTTATTCGCCTCTCTCTATATCTTGCACTGCATGCAAAACATATACACTATAGAATTTAGCGTGCATCGTTGCTAGCAGATCATTGGTATATATTTATTATACATCAGAGTTCGCCATGCAATTAAGGGAACAGAAACTTTATACACTTGATATACAGTAAAATAACATGCACGGTGTTAATTCCCTCACTGAAAAACGTCTTGCAATTCCTGCAAAAAGTAGAATGCTTCCTGATTTAGGTCTGCCATATCCGACTGATATAACCGAGATTTTGATAAGTTTTGATGCTAAAGGAGTATTGCTAAATTGCATAGTTAATTCACTTCAGTATACAGGTTATCATACATTTGTTTACATAGGTAAAACGAAAGGGCGTGTTATCCACAAAGCATGCACTGAGGAATTGGCAAGAATTCTGTAAATTTTATACTTGTACTGTTGTACAAATAATCGTCTAGGCCGGCGTGGTTTTATACGAATATAGTATCACGTATCAGTTCTAACTACATGCAAAAGTATGCCCGATAGATGATTTCTGTATGATTTCTATATATAATAACAGGTTTTGAACAAGGTTGTCAAAGCATGTTGTAAATATTGTATGTATATATATAGATTATATCATATATATATATATATATATATATATTATATATATAGATTATATCATGCCTTCTATCCTATACAAGCCCACGAAAATGTTTTGATTATAGATAACTTTAAATTCCACTTCATGAACTAATTATGATCTAGTTACACTCTGCCATATTGCCCATACAGTGTATAGCAATCGTTTGCATGTAAATATAGCTATAATATGTATATGTATAATGCTAGTTTGTTATATAGGAAGAAACCATGTGTTTTCTGATGTTTTCTCAATATTCCATGCTTTCGTCTTTGCTCCTGGCAACCAATCAAGTTTTTTTCATTCTTTTCCTGTATTATACAAATCTATATGCCTACACTCTACAACATGCAATTGCAGATTAAAGTTAGTTCAATGGTGGAAATACTTGAAAATATAGATATATATATAGGCAGACCTTTTTATTGTTATTTAGCTAAGATAAATACATGGCCATCATGATCACGCATGGCATCAGGCCAAATTCAAAGGTAAAGTAAAAGCAAAAAATTAAAGTGTTTATAGTTCAGAAAAACTTCCTGCATAAATATAAATGGCAAAACTAAACTTATATTGAAACTAAGCGAATACTTTATATATCCAAATACATATATATACTGATATATTTTTCAACGAGAGTCAGTTGCTATACTGACTTGTTCAAATAATTCAGTCTGGTCTTCCAAATTCATGCATGTTAAACATATTAATTCAATACAACTATACAGTTCATTTATATGTCCCAATATCGCAGCATGTTCGCCGATTTGAACATATAATTCACCATGCTATTATTGAATGAGCTGCTAATTGCGTTCATGCACAGGCATGTGTACGGTTAAAGGTATCTATGTTCAATATCATATTGTGTTATGATGCACCCTTGAAACAAAGGAGCTATCCTATATATTGCGTGGATCAAGTCGAACGCCTCAGCCTGCTTTATTGCATGTCTATACAAAACCTAACCTCGGGTTTTTTATCCCGCATTATAGAATATTGACTCTTCAAAGTCGAATATAGTAACTATTCTTGGACCGTACAAACCTTGTTTTTAAAAACGCATTATAGCAACATCAAATCTAACGCATATGAGACGGCATATACTAGCTTGTTTCATCTGATTTCGAGACTATACATCGCCATGCATGCGTTAGCGTGCTGTATATTATTAGATTTTTAGATTCATGGAACATGGATTTTATACGAGTTACTTTTATATATTCCTAAGGCTAAGGTGTTCTATCTATTTTGAGGGAAATCGATCGCCCACTCTAGTTTAGAATCCCCGCGTCCGAGTGGTGCTACATGGTATGATTTTGAAAATATAAAGTGTACGCGCGCATATAACTCCGTTTGAAAACCAGACCGCTTGCAATGCCACTCTGCCATTATAGTGGCTATTATTATATACGGTTTACTGGTGGATGAAATCTGAAGATCATACAGTTTACTTGCCATGAGATTTCACTGCATGTCTCTCCTTCTTTGAATAAGTATATATGATGTCTTTGACTTTGACTTTGTGATTCTCTTTCAAGTCTCGATGACTGTTTAAATACTCTTTGAAAATTATCTCGTTTATCATTTAATGTCTATAACGTGGTGAAAACTGTTTAATTATCGTGCAATTTACCCAACCATTTATCTGTATACACGCACTCAAATGACTCAATCAATTTCCCAAAATTTATGTACAACAATGCACGCCCGAGACCTCATTAGTTTATCGCTGTTTCCTTCGAGGTTAACGCTACATGCTTCTTCGCACCATCGTTATATGCACTCAAATTCAACATCAGCCTTTATATTAATCCTGCCTTCGCCCGGTTATACGCCTGAAGATACGGACGACGATATTGTATTGTTTTCCTTTCCTTCGTGTTGTCGTTTATATTAGTATCTATACCATCTACAGCTATTAACTTTCTGTCCGGCACGTCCTAGCTTCGGGCTAGCCCACCTGCATGATGTTTGGACGACTAGATTCTTTATATATGTATATACACCGAGCAACTCTAAGCATACAAGTGAAGATTGTCGAGTATATTAGTATGTTTGAATTACACAAACTTTCACACTGGCACCACGCATGGAACGGTCACAAGGAAAAAGTAAACAAAACAGCAGTCTACCACACGGCTTTAAACTGATGTTAAAATAACAAAAGACTGCGTAGTTGTTGCGAAAATCGTCCCTGGAAAACGTGTGAAATTTGCATCGAAGTAATTGGTCAGTAAGTCTATTATATAGGCATATATACTGGCCGATATAGGTACCACAGGTATCAATGTTGCAACTGAAATAAGCGCTGGTTCCTCTTTGACTATGGCCTATACTAGGAAATAGTTGCCAAGTTTTATATAGGCAATTTGTAAGCGGGTAGACGTACCTTACTCCGTTGAAATCGACTTGATGTATTTTCTCGACTTAATGCCAGTTTTAGGATCCTCAAATGTATTTCACTTCTATAAAATATACGTGAGCGGCATAACTTCTAATACGGGTTTTGAGATCGCCCCTAAACCAATGTCGCCGTCAATTTTAAGCCAAGCATATTATTTGATTAATATATTTTTTAAGGTTCGTTTAAAAATACACGACTTACCGCATAATAGTCACAGCTTTCTATCATAAACCGCTCGCAAGTCGCGCGCTCAACACGAGCAGAAGTTAAATGGAGTACAAGCGCGGAACTGCTGGAATCACTCAACGCGATTCTGACCAGCGTATGCATGAGATGACCTCATTGTCTCATGTTTTGTCAATATTGTAACATAAATTGGCAATTTGAATAATATCAAGCCGATACACTGTCCACAATGTCAACGAGTTCGGCGTGAAAAATGCGCACGTTTGATGCTTTCAAGCCAATAATTACGCACTTTGGATTTATCGAATGCTTCCAAGAGTTTGCAATTATATATTAAAGTATAAGATTCATTGTTGTGTGGCTAAGGATAATATGATACGTCTCAAAAAGGCAACTTAAATCGAAACAAAGAATCGTGCCCCAACGCGTTTGCACAAAAAACGTGGTCCTGGCATCTGATTGGCTATTTTGGACGGGAATCCTTAAATCGGGCGGAGCGTACGATCAACAGTTGACAAATAATGAGATGCTTTCGAGAATATAAATTTACGAAAAGTCAAAGGCCATCGTTGTTATTAGTCTATTGTACACATCTGGAAACATACATGCAGATTAAATTTGCTTTGATTTAAAATAAAGAAACAGCCGAAGTTGAGAGGTTATTTAACAATGTCGATCATTGGCCGATCAAGCTGCAAAAATGTGGAATTCAATTTTAAGTGCTGCCAGGCGTGTGGCCCGTTGTGCTTGGCGCGTGTGCAGAGAGAAGAAATTTAAATCACCGCTATACGTCGTATATGAGATAGCTAATGCAATATAGAGCTTGTATATATAGTTGTAAAAATAGTAAGTTCATTGTT